TTGGCAACATTTTATTTGGCAATAAAAACTTAGGTACTGAAATATTGATGAACCCAGAAAACACTATAAGTGCAAGAAGTCTAAAAGACTACATACTGCATGATTCCATTTACATGAAATGTCTTGAATAGGCAAAGCTATGGTGACAGAAAATACATTAGTGGTTGCCTAGGGCTAGAAGTTTGGAGGAAAATGGGGAGTGACTGCTAATGGGTACAGGACTTTTTCAGGTAGTGGAAATGTTCTAAAATTGTTTTTATGGCTGCACTACTTTGTAAATAAACTAAAAGTCCTTTAACTGTACACTTTTTAATGGGTATAAGGTATGTGTGGTAGGTTGAATTAATGACCTTCAAAGATATGAGGACTTAATCCCTGAATCTATAAATGGTAGCTTACAAGGGAAAGGAGTCTTTGTAGATGTGATTAAATTAGGATTTTAAGATGGGAGGATTACCCTGAATTATCTAGGTGAGACCTAAATGCAATCAGATGTATCCATATAAGAGGGAGATTTCTCAGACAGAAGAGAGGCTACAAAGATAGAGACTGGTGATACTGCCACAAGTAATGAATACCAACAGCTACTAGAAGCTGAACAAGGCAAGGAGTGAATTTTCCCACAGACCCTCCAGAGGAATTGCCAACACCTTGGCTTTGGTCCAGTGATACTGATCTTGGACTTCTGGCCTCCACAACTATTAGAGAATAAATTTCCGTTGTTTTAGGCCACTAAATTTGTGATAATTTGTTACAGCAGCCATAGGAAATACACTGTGAATGTATCTCAATAAAGCAGTTTTTAATATCTCTGTAATTATTGTGCACTTTTTGTTCATTTATATTTCTAACGCATTTTTAAATATATTCTATTACAATGTACAAAAAGCTCATCAAGCTTAAGACAGTCTTGTTATATTTATTAATTTAAATTTCACAAAAATAACATTTTAATATTTATAAATATAAAATAGTCTTTGTTTCAAGATAAAACATTTTTAATCTTGAAAACTGCTCAGTTTTGTTTGTTTGCTTTTTTCATTTATCTGCTATTCTTTTAGCCATTATCTTAATTTTTTTGTCACTTTATATTAGGTAATTCACATATAAAATATATATAGTCTCCTCCCATTACAAAAAACCACCAATCATCAGATGGACTATTGGCTTTAAAACAGATTTTGGGAGTTGGGGAAGAGAAGAAAAATATTGCTTATCCAAAAGATGCATCTTGACTTTAGAAATGTAAAAAGAAAATTATTCATCTTAGAATTTGGGGAATATGATTTTTTTAAACGTCTCCAACCACATGGAAGAATGGAAGAAATTACATTTTACACAGAAAGAAAATTTTTCTTTTCTCTCTCTCTCTCACTCTGTAAATTGGAGAAAAAAATGGGAGCTCATTTTTTAAGTTATCTTAATTTTAAAAATTCTTCCAGTGATGTTATTTTGGCAATTTGTGAGTAAAATAGGGACTCTAGAACAAATTTATTCTCAGTTGAACAAAGTCACATGAAGACTTATTTTTTTCATTTCAGTCTGACAAATTAAATGGCCTTTCCAAAGAAACATGGAAAGACAATGAAAAGGTAACAGCTTTGTTAAAGGAAGGCAAGATAATAAGAACACATAGAACTAGGGTTTTCTCACCATCCCTAATTCATCCACTGCTTATCTACCTATTCATTCCTTTCTCTAATAAATCTGGGAATGATTAAAAAACTTTAACCCAAAATCGTGATGTGCTATTTGGAGCTGAGTTTGTAAAATAAAGTAAACCTTCTTCTGGTTTTGATTTATCTGATATAAAAAGGAGAATAGATCATGCATTAAAATGTATACACAAGAAAATTCATATCATAAAGAATATTCTTCTTTTTGGAAAAACTGAATTTATATGGGCACTGAAAAATTTTGGTCATTTAAATTTTATAAAATGTTCTATTTTTTTTCCCCCACTGGCGAGAAAGAAAATCATGATGTAGAGAAATTTTCATTTGGAAAATTCACTACTTGGAAGAGAAGGGTTTGTTTAATAAACAGAATGGTATATTTGACTAGCCATTTTAGGAGGAGAATCAAGCTAGAGTTTCTCAAACCATTTATTGATATCATTTTCAAATTAATTTTCAAAAGTATAAAAGAGCCAGAAATAAAGGTGAATATTTAACCAATTTTGAGGAGGAAAGAACCTCATAAGCATAGAAGCAATGGAAAAGCCCTTTAAAAAATATCTATAGATTTGGTTGCAAAAAATTAACAATAATTTCTATAAATTAGCCAGGCACCAGTGGCTCACACCTATAAGCCTAGCTACTCAGGAGGCAGAGATCAAGAGGATGGAGATTCGATACCAGGCAAATAGTTTAGCGAGATTCTATCTCAAAAACACCCATCACAAAAAAGAAAGGGGGGAGGTTGGTAGAGTGGCTTAAGGGGTAGGCCCTGAGTTTAAGCCTCAGTACCACACACACACAAAAAAAAATTCTATAAATTAGAAAACACCTTTAAAATTTTTAAACAATTGAGAAATCTTGAAAAAATATGTAATTTCTGATCATAAATTATATCTTTAATATATAATAAGCATTTATAACTCCATAAGAAAAAATAAACATCAATAGGTCAGATAAGAAAAGGATATGAATGAATGATTCACAGAAGATATTTTTAACATAGAAAAATGTTGCAGAGCTTTCTTAAGGTTTCTTGCACTTAGTAATGCCTGCTGTTGGTGGGAATATGGTGCATTGATGGCAAAAATCAATGCAAGCAGCAGCACCATTTGACAATAGGTACCAAAACCCCCCAATGTTTATGTTTGACCTAGTCATTCCACTTCTGGGAATGTATTCTAAAGAAATTACTGGAGCTGTGTCAGGCTACTATAACAAATTATAATATACTAGGTAACTTTAACATCTGAAATTTATTTTCCCACAGTTCTGGAAGCTGGAAAATCCAAATCAGGGTGCCAGCAGAATCATGGGATACAATTCGTCCATGGCAAGCTGTAAACAAAGATTTATATGCAAATGCCAATCTTATTTTATTGAGAATAATGAGAAAGTAAATGTCCAATAATAATGATATGAATATGTAATGATACAACCATAAAAATAATTAGGCTTCCATTACACTATTTTAAGGACCAACATGGAGTAGATGCACGTTTCCCTACTCATCTTACTTAAGCTAAAACCCTAGACAGTAAATGTAAAACAAACTTGAAGACTGAATGTTAGGCGATTACAGACTGGCCAGAGAGCTCAGGACAAAAGGGATTACACAGTGATAAGTACCATGGATTTCTTTTGGCTACACATATTTCAGACTGCGTCCTGGAGAAGCTGGCAACTCAGAAATGTCAATGGGAACAGACAAAAACAGTAACAAAACCAAGAAAAGACCTACTCAAAAAAATGGCTAAAGAAAGTTCTCTAAATATAATACATAAAAGGGAATTTGTGAAATATCAGAAAGAAAGAACAATTGAAAAGAGCAGAAAATACAGGTAAATACAACAATTCTCCTTCTCTTCTGGAGTGTTTTAAATTAAACTTAATGGTTGAAACAAAAAGTGTCACACTGCCTGATTTGATGTATATACAGGAAATATTTAGGTCAATAGTATCAAAAATGGTAAAGGGGAAGGGGCAGGAATTAGGATTCCTGCAGAAAATATCATGCTGGGAATGAAAATGGCCCACCCCAAAAGCTCTGCTGTCAGGAGAAAGACTGATATCCCAGGAGAAAGATTATCTCCCAGTCTAGTAACTGGGCCCACACTAGATCTACAGTTGCCTATTTCCTGACTTTTGCTTTATCTTTTTTTGTAAATTGTAGCACTACTATGGGTAAGGCGGAGACAGATTAGGAATTTCTATCTTCCAAGTTTTGGCTAAAATTGTAAATAAATTCATTTTTTCGTAAATATATATGTGTGTGGGTAGTGGTGGTGGTGGTGGGGTGTGTGTGTGTGTCCATTTTCTCTTGATATGGGCAAGTGTTCAGCCAGACTTTATGGCTAGGAGTTCCTGTAACAGAACAGCTTAAAGGGAGGTAAAGTTTCTACATTTCACTCAAAACTGGTAAGATGCCTCTTTACCAATAGACCTTTTGGTACTGAAAAGTTGTATATCTTAATTTTGGTGGTGGTTATAGAAATCTACACAGGTGATAAAAGCACAGCAATATATACATTGTACCAATATTAATGTTCTGGTTTTGATATTATACTAAAGTTTTGCAAGATACAACTTTTTGGGAAAATGGTTGAAGGTAATGTGAACCTCTCTGTACTATTTTTGCAAGTTCTTGTAAAAGTACAATTATAACATAATAGAAAGTTTAAAAATCATGTTTTAAATAATATTTGTTGGCATAGAGAAACAATCAAGAGATGAGATTAAGTGCAAAAATGGGATATACAATGATATTTTTAGGCATGACCCAAAATCTATAAGGAAACGTCTCCAAATTAAAACTAAAACGTCCTATGTCTCACTGTCACCAGAGCCATTAGTCATAAGGTCTAACTCTGGGTCTGGATGCTAGCCCATATTAAAAAGAAGCAATATACACACACATGTATAAATGGAAAAATGGATTTGTTTATAGTTTTGACCAAAACTGGGGAGAGAGCCATTTTCAGTCTGTCCTCACCTTCGTGGTAGCAGTGTTACAAATTATACAAAGGATAGGACAAAAACTAGGAAATTGCCAGGTGCCAGAGATAAGAGGATTGGGGTTCGAAGCCAGCCTAGGCAAGTAACTCATGAGACCCTATCTTGAAAAATAACCAACACAAAATACAGGGCTGGCAAAGTGGCTCAAGTGGTAGAGAGCTGTTTAGTAAGTATGAAGCCCTGAGTTGAAACCCCAGCGCTGCCAAAAACAAAAAAAAGTTGCTGAGAGGATTACCTGAGTTCATATATGGATAACTTAGGACAGTGCCTGCCCCATAAGCTATAGGAAACATTTTGTAAGTTTCATATCTCATTATTATTCATACAACCAGATTCCTTTGAACGTAAGATGCTGCTTTTTCTTGATCTTACCAGAAGGTGTCAGTGGAAGTTTTTCACATTTTCATATCATGAATGACACTAACTGAAAGAAATTGTAAGATGTCTTTGTTGTAAGATGTAGTTTAATTTCAGAGGGTTTAACATATTTTAAAGTATGCATCCTAGAATCAGTAAAATAAGTTTTATGCTTTCATTTAACTCAACTCTAAGTTAATGTATGTGTGTCATCCACCAAAAGACAATTGAAACTGGCAAAATAATTTGATTCAAATATTAAATAATGTAACCTCTTACTTGCGTAAATTCCAATTTATTCAGTCTTGGTTCCGTTGATTCAATAATACTCAATTCTTTCCAATGTGCTTCTAATTTTGCAGTAAAAATTATTTGTAATTAGTTTGGTTGTAATGCATTCATATTTTTATTTACATTATACTTAAGACAAGAACATAAAATTAGTTCTTAACTAGTGTGTATCCATAGTTAGGTAACATTCTGAATATTACAGTTTTTTTTCCTGATTTTTATTTAATCAAGCAACCAAAATACTAAGAATGAACATATATTTTTAATACGTAGGTCAGGATAAAGCAGAAACAAATATGTACAATACTATAAAAGGCTGGAAAACATTCGTATACTTTATGCTAGTATTTAGGCTAGCAGATCCTAAATCAAAACCCCTCTATAAAAAACTTTCATTTGAAAAACTTGCTTTAGCCTTTAACTTTTTTTTGTTTTTGCTGTTTTTTGGCAGCATTGGGGTTTGAACTCAGGGTCTCATGCTTGCTAGGCAGGCACTCTATTACTTGAGCTACTCTACAGCCCTTTTTCTGTGGTGGGTTTTTATCAAAATAGGCTCTCCTGAACTATTTCCCGGCTTTTTTTTTTTTCTTTTATTATTCATATGTGCATACAAGGCTTGGTTCATTTCTCCCCCCTGCCCCCACCCCCTCCCTTACCACCCACTCCACCCCCTTATTTCCTGGCTTAGAACTGTGATCCTCCTGATCTTTGCCTCTGAGTAGCTAGGATTTACAGGTGTGAACCACTGGTGCACAGCTTTTAATATTTCTTAAATCAGCTTTTACTTAAATGTTCTTTAAGTAAAAGATTCAAAGAATTTTCATCATTTCAGAAAATTGTTAGAGGAGGTAACATCATAAATGATATCTGAACATGAATATCCTCATTTTTCTCTACTCCCCATCAGCATTCTCATTCCTCTCTGCCCTGGAAGTAACCACTATCATTTGTCATCATCCTTTCAGCCACCTTTATATACATTTCCATATACGTCTGTGTACACTGATACATAGATCTTTTGTCTTGGGCTGGTGGAGTGGCTCACTTCTTCTGTATCTTTCATCCAAAAAAAAAAAAATTCAAAGAATTTCTGAACCAAGAGTAGGATTGAGGATGATTGATTACTTCTCTGCTTTTCTACATTCTCTGTCTAAAAAAAGAAGAGCCTAGTTTCATCTATAAGAGCTCCAGTAATGTAGATCTCAATATCGATTCATCATATGAATTCAGTGTTCTCCTCACAAAAAAGAAATAAAAACAAAAATACTAAAATAATAGGCATACTTACGGAGGTCTAAGTTTGCCTTCTGAAAAAAATCACGAATAGCATTCTGAATCTGCAAATCAGAAGGGAAGGAAAGAAAGGAAGGAGAGATGGAGGGAAAGAGAGAGAGAGGTGGGAAGGAGAGGGGAAAGGAGAGGAGAGGAGAGGAGACAAAAAAAAAAAAGCCATGCATTACCTCAATTACCACATATTTAGTATTTTAGAGTAAAAGCCATCTGTGGTCTTTCTATTTAAGTACTGGTTAGTCTTTCTAATTGAAGGACAGAAATAGTAATGATTCCTATTTAGTTTAGAGAATACTTCAGGGTATATAAAGTACTTTCACATGTATGTCCTCATTGATTCCCCGCCTTCTGTGAGAAGGACTGGGAGGCTAAAAGTGATCCTGTTTTGTCTACTCCAGGGTGCATTTCTAGCAACCTTTGACACTGGGCATGATGGAGCTAAGGCCCATTTGGCAACTGCCTTGGCAATCCTGAGAATCCTCTATACTTCCTCATTCTCTGATTACTATACACAAAATTTCAGTTTTTGGACCATTTTTTAAAATAGATTTTATTTTCCTTAGAGAAGTTTTAGGTTCACTGAGCAGACAGTACAGCCTTCCCATATACCCTTGCCCCTCCCCACCCAAACTCTTGCACTACCAACATCCTGCCCTTGAATTGCACATTCGTTATAACTGATAAACCTACATCAACATATCGTTACCAGCCAAATCCATAGTTTATATTAGAGGTCATTTTGGTGGTCTATATTCTACGGGTTTTGACAGGTATCCACCCATTATAATATCTTACAGATTTTTCACTGCCCTAAAAATCCTCTGGGCTCCCCTTATTCATCTTTCCCTCTGTTCTTACTCCTGGCAACCACGGATCTTTTTACTAGCTCCATATTTTTCCCTTTTCCAGGATGTCATATAGTTGGAATCACACACTATGAAGCCTTTTCAGATTGGCTTCTTCCCCTTAGTAACATGCATTTAAGTTTCTTCCATTTTTTTTCATGACTTGATAGTTCATTCCAAGGAAAGCTTTTAGCATTTCCACTCAGTATTTTAACAATTGCGCTCTTACCACTCACCTCACTACCCTTCGCACATTATGCTCCCCTTTCTTACCACTATCATAGGAATTTTTCCTTTGGGGTCTAGAATCCATTCATCGAACTGTTCCTCTAGAGCGTGTTTCCTCATGCCAACCACCTTGGTTTTAACTGTGTGAATGTATTCTCTTTGTTTTCTTTTCTGTTTAACATTCGCTTTCATCTTGGATATTCTGAAGGATGTAGACATAGAAAACATGTTGAGTTGAGACCCTTGGATTTGAGGCTGGGGTCATGGTTCATGTGGTTAAGTGACTATCTAGCAAGCACAAGGTCCTGAATTCAAACCCCAGTATTGCAAACAAAGAAACAAACAAAAAAAGACTTTTGGATTTGGCTCAGATTGTTTAGATGGCAGAATATAAGAGTTCAGAGCCTCATTTAAACTTGTACCTGTCTTTTTCTCCATGAAATCTTTCTTAATGCAAGTCTCAAGTGAACTCTCCTTCTCTAGCACGTACTAAATTTGTCATTCATCATGGGATGCTTTGTACTGTTATTTGACTTTTTATAAAGGTGAACCTTATTTTACCCAACTAAAATATTAAACATAAGAAGTATTGGTGAGGGTTGGGCATGACTGAAGTGGTAGAGTGCCGTACCTAGTAAGCACTATGTTCAAACCCTAGTTAGTTCAAACCCTAGTGCCACCAAAAAAAAAAAAAAGGGAATGTTAATTAGCACAGTAATTATGGAAAACTATGTGGAGATTCCTGAAAAAAAATAAAAATAGAATCAACATATGATCCAGCAATCCTACTTTTCAGTATTCACCCAAAAGATTTGAAATCAATTTGTCAAAAATTATCCTCACTCATATGTTCATTGCTGCACTATTCACAATAATCACGCTATGGAATAAAGAAAGAAAATATGGTATACAGAACCTCAGAATACTATATAGCCTTTAGAAAGAAGGAATTCTCCCCTTTATGACAACATGGATAGAACTGGAGAATTAGGTTAAGTGAAATAACCCCAGGCACAGAAAGATAAATACCACATGTTCTCACTTTTATGTGAAATATAAAACAATCAGATTCTTAGAAGCAGAGAGTACAATGGTGATTACAGATGCTGGGGTTGGGGGAAATGAGGAGATGTTCAAATAGTATAAAATATCAGTTAGATAGGAGAAATAAGTTTTTTAAAAAGTATCTATTGCACAACAATAATAGTTAATAATGTGAGAATCAACTAAATTGAATCTTGTCTGTCAAAGAGTTTGCTAAGTCGATAGAGCAAGAGACTCAATTTCAGGTTCATGGGTTTGAACCCCTTCCTTCCCCACACTAATATTCACACTGTGGAATATGTCTGTCATTGTATGGCTATTAGCTGATTTCCCCAGTTGTCTATGTGCTCGGTGGCATGTTGCCTGGCTGTAAAGTGTTTGCCTTTAAGGAGAGAATTGTTTGTCATTGGATATCCTAAAACTCAAACTGCTAGTCTTATAATAATCATTGTTCAGAGGAATCTCTGCTTCAAGGTCCCCTTGGCCCACAGATTAATTATATACTTGGTGCTGCCATTCTAGGTCAAACAGTCATTTCAGGCCTCAGTTTCCCCAGAATTCTAGAAATTCCCACCTTATAAGGTTATCTCTTTGTCATTGGGTATACCAATCAAATTAAGTCTCATGTCTATTCTTGCCAATTATGTCTGCTCTTCCCCTTTGCCCTCCCCTAAACTTCGCCTTAGTCAATGGCAAAGACTGTGAAGACTGTGAACCCGAGCTCCCTCCTTAGAACAGTCCTGTGTAAGGGAAAAAAACTGGGACATCCTTCTGCCCCTGAGTGCGTGCTGGCTTGCCTGACTTAGGTCAGAGGCACACATGCCCTTCTGCAGAAGTAAATTTTGCCTTATCTATCAGCTTTTGAGCATGTGTCTGATTTGTGATCATGGCAGCGCTGCGATATTTCTAACGATAATATTGTATATTTCAAAATTGCTAATTGTATAAATTTCAAATGTTCTTACCACAAAATGACTATTTGAGGTAATAGATATGTTAATTAGCTTGATTTAATTATTCTACATTGTATTTAAAAACATAGCATCACACAATATCCATAAATATATATATATTTAAATAATTTTAAAAATTGTCACTTTACAATAAAAAAAGAAGCAATAAGACTAGCCTGAAAAGCTGCTCTACATACTACTATAAAAGGCAAGGCTGGATACATGCCTTAAAGTTGTGAGTCTCTTTCTTCCTTGACCACAAAAATCGTATGGAGGGATTCTGATCCCAGGACTAGGGTAGAAGCCTTGAAGACGCATTTATAATAAGTTTTCAAGGTTATTCTGATGCCTTGGACCAAACTTTTGAGGAATCTCTTTAGGAGTACATATTGGCCTATTGCCATGATCTAGCCAGAGTCAAATGCTTTAACAGCACCTGCTGAAGTCCTGAGCCTAACAGTTACCGTGTATACAGCCAGATATGCATCATCCAGGTTGAGAATTGGCAGGGAAATTGTGATTTTAATTGTTTCTATAATAATCATCCCTGTTAGTACTTAAAAAAATCGATTTTGGTTGAAATCAAATCACATGGCTCAAAACAATAAAAAGAGCTGCAAGTTTCAAGTGTAATATTTTGTTTGACAATGTTTGAGGCAGGTCTTCAGCTTTCAAAGTAAGACTAAGCCAATCTGACAAATTTTGAAATGCAAAAGGATTTTCAGTAAGAACTAGTAAATTGGATACCTCTAATAATTCAAAAGAAATTACTGAACCTAAACCATTACTGTTATTCCCATAAAAGGCCTTCAGAATTCTCTAGGAAAATAAGCCTTCAAAAATAAACCTTGCAGTTTGAAAATAAAAGCAGGCAAGCAGTTTCACAGTGCAGAAGAACTTGTGCTGGAACTGCTGAAAGATTAATTCATATTTTAATGGAAGTGCTAAGTTCTTCTGATGTACCTACTAAGCAGCTGGACCACCCAGTCCCTTCTGTCTGTCTCTCACTCTGCTTTTTCACTGCTTCTCCCTTTGCTGTTTTCACTCTCTTCCAATCTCTCTACAGCATTGTCCTCAATTTTCATCTTCATTTCTACTTAGCTCTCTATTCTATACCTGTGTCTTAGATCCAGCGTTTCCTCATTTTGCATTAACCAAGTCAGTCACTCACTCACACATTTATTGGGCACTTACTATGTATTCTGCTATAAATAAAGCTTAAGCTTTAGTGGCAGAACAGATAGGTAAACGATATGGTGTAATAAATATTGAGTGTCTCCAGATTCTCATTTGACACAAAAATAGATTCACAAAATTGTTTTTGATCAGATTTTCATTTGCTAAAAATGTTTTCTTTTCTCTTTCTTGCCTGACTAGATCTTCTACATGCTTTAGGTCTCAACTCAGACATCATTTCTTCCCACTTTCTGATACCCATATTTAGAAACAAAATCTAATTTTGTGCTTTAGAGCCATTGTATATGGACTCGCAAATGTAATTCAAACGGATTTTAAATTTATTATGTCACTCACTCAGGGAGTAACATTTCTCTTCTGTAGCCTGCAGTTTTTCATGAGGATGTTTTTTTACATCAATCAACAGAATTCTATAGCATCCAGCACTCTTCACTTTGGGCCGTATAGGGTAGACATAACCTACAAGCATATTTTAAATGTAAATCCCCATTTAAGCTGGGCATGGTTGCTGCGCCTCTAATCCTAGCTACTCAGGAAGCAGAGATCAGGAGGGTTGCAGTTCGAAGCCACCACAGGCAAAGAGTTTGCAAGACCCTATCTGGAAAAACCCTCACACACAAAAAAAAACTAGGACTGGTGGAGTGGCTCAAGGTGAAGGCCCTGAGTTCAAGCCCCAATATGGCAGAATAAATAAATAAATAAATAAAAATCCCCATTTAAAGGGACTGGAAAGAAGGGAAATAGACAGTATGGTCAATTATAGAAATGATCATAGGCCAAGGGAGGTGAGGTGTGCCTGTAATCCCAGTTATTTAGGAGGTGGAGGCTTGTCTGGGCAAAAGCATGAGACCCTATCTGAAACAACATAAAAAAGTAAAAGGACTTGGGACATGGATAAAGTGGTAAAGCACTTGCCCAGCAAGCAAGGCCCTTAGTTCAATCCCCAAAACTAGTTGAAAAAAAAAGGTAGCAGATTCTTTACATTCCTATATTCATGTCTCTTTGTATGCAATGTAGATTTACAGCTTCTCCTATGAAGAGGTAGTCAGTTTCTGTATTCCTTGTCTGCCTGTGGCCATGTGACTTGCAATGGGCAGTGAGCAAACAGGCAAACTTGGGCCCTTCTACCACACCTTAGAAATGATCCTAGGCTAGACTGCTGGATGATCTAGTTACCTCTATTGCTCTTGAAAATAGTAAGCCAACCACTAGAAAAGTGATTAAGGCCATCAACTGCCATTTACTGCAATGTATGAGTGAGTCTAATTGGTATACCACAGGAAGTAGAGATGAACTATGAACTCAGTCCAAAGTTACCAACCTAGAAAATTATGAGCAAATGAACAGTATTACTTTGACCAACTAAGTTTGGAAATATTTTGTTATGTAGCAAAAGCTAACTAATAAAACCTTCTACATAGGAACAAGTGTTTTGAGTTTTTTTTTTTTAAGAAAAATAGTATAAGTCCAATGATTAAAGAGTAGAAGCAAAAATGCTTCTCTACCCTAGTAATGACAAAATCCATTAATTCATTCAAGCTGTACAAGAAAAATCCTCCACTTACAGCAACATTGGCTTAGGTCATATCAAAATTGAATGTTGTATTTCATCAAAACTAGTTCTAACAGCTTATGTGGACAACTTGCCACGAACCTGGAATACACCAGACTGTTACTGAACCTAAATGAAGATTCTTCCTTGACTGCTGAACAATTGGACTTGTTTTAATCAATCCTGTACAGACCTATGGACTCACTCTCTCTCATCGTGTTACAGCTTTCAATTCTTGTAAGTATAACCATCATAAAACTCCCTTCCTAACAATTAATAACTCTGAATTTTCCCTCTCCAAAAACTATTCAGTGAAAGCTTCACTGGAATTTATTCCCTTCCTGGCAAGTTAGTAACTCAGTGTTTATTTGTTTACTTTTTAAGCTCTGGTGGTCTGAGTTTCACAAAGCTAAACTAGACTTCTTGTCATTCCTGGAGCATGCCTATATTATTCCT